GTAATGCAAGAACTAACTTTTACAACTAGTTTAAATGTCCTAGTAGTCTGTGGAGCTGATTGAAGACATGTAGAGTTGCTGAAAGTAAATTTTACTATCTTTATGAAAGGGGCAACTTCACTCTTGCTATGAAAAGTGAGGATAGAAGAGTAGCAGAGCTGAGCTGGAAAGCAGAGGGAGCCCATACTGATGTCCCTGCAAGAAAGATGGGAGTGACAGCAGTTTGGGCAGCTGAGAAAGGCTGGTCCTCTCTTACCATAAGCTGTACACCTGAACTCTTCAAGTGGCAGCAAGTCTTGTTTTCTGTAACTCTCACAGACAAAGCAAGTCTGATCACTGATGCATATGGGTTAGCTTTTTGCCCTAGCTGGTACCTGCTTTATCTTAGCCAAGATATGATCACCAGCATTTGTGTTTCAGATTGTGTGGTGCTTCTTGTTTTAAGACATTAAGTTCTTTGTAATTTCATTGGGCTTGACAAAAACTTATGGTTTACAGTTTGAGTAGTTACTGTCTGAACTTATGATCTGAAACAGTTCAGCAGTGATGGTGGGGAATTGTCTGCGGAAGAGGTGAGAGCAGGGGATTTGCTGTGGAGGTGGGAGCCAGGGCCAGAAGAGGCTGCACAGAGAGCTTTTGCTCTGGTGTTTCCTAACCCTCTATTTGAATATACAAGCCAACCTCCTTAAAGTGTTGTTGTACAGCTATCTGTGAAGTACCCTGCCTTAACTACTTCCTACCATTTCAGTACAATAGCAAATTAGCAAATAGGCACGATGCCCTAAGTCAGTGCTAATAGAGATGGAAGCTTGTTGAAGGAAAGTGCTGAGTTTTGTTGTCTTTCGTAACTGGCTTGTTCCCTCTTGTTGTAACCTGTTTGTTTTTAAGGCTGGCATACACTACACAAATGGACAACCACCAGGTCTGCCATCGCCTTCCTTCTGGGGCAGAGCCTCCTTCAGCGGCATCTGTGCAGGATCCTGGGGTTTGTGCCTTTGCTCCCATCTTTCCCCTGGTCACCAGAAGCAGCACCTGATTGCCAGGTCCATCCCCAGGCACGTGGGCACCAAGATGCTCCCACTTGGCGCTCCAGCCTCCCAGTAGGGAAGGTGTTGCAGACGGCATGCTGCACCATGCTGCTGCCTGTCCCCTTTTCAGGCTTTTTGTGGCCTCTCCCTTCCCTGCCACAGGGAGACTTGGCCTGATGGGCTGCCCCGTTTCCACAGCAACCGACAGATGGGGGGTTTTGGCGGGGTGGTAACGGCCCTTTCAGCTCTGACAGCTCCGCACAGGCTGGCCAGCAGTAGTTATCAGATTACTTGTATTAAAACCTAATTAAGATGTGTGCCAGTAAATGCAGCGTGGTTATTGGATTTGGTGATTTAGCTGCTGCAGGTTGCTGCAATCCAGTTGCTCCATTTCAGCAGATTCTGCTCAGCAGAGTAGAGGGAAGGCATTTTACGTTAGTTCCCCAACTGTGCCGAAAGAGTAAATAACCTTTTAATGCCTCTGCGTTGTCAAGGACTGATCCCCACTCCTGGATGGACGGGTGCTGCCCACCAATCCCAGCATGTTAATTTCTTCCATGTCAGCCCTACAACCTGGAGGAGGGCTGACAGGCCCCACCGGCCCCTGTGGAACCGGCTCTCCCACATGGCTCACAGATGCCTGTGGATTAATGGGCCTGTGACTTCCCTGGGGCAGGGGCTCATAGCGTCCACGCAGGGGCCTGGCAGGTGCCCCAGGATCGGTGCTGGGGCTGTAGAAAAGGAAGCTGTTACTCCTGTCTGTAGGGCACACGGCACTAGCCCAGCTTTGTGCAGTTAATTCCTCTGGGCAGAATTCACCGTGGTGCCTTTGATCTGCTCTGCATTCTGTGTTCATGGAGTTTCTGGCTGTCTGCTCCTACCTGTAATGTATCAAAATGCACCTGTCCTTTCTATTTCACCCCAGGACTGCCTACTCAGATCCAAGTTCAGTTTCTGTGCAGTGAGAGATGAGCCCTTCTGTGGGCTGTAGCATGAGCTGCACAAAGTTGGTAAGGTAGCCCAGAGCCCTTCTGACACAGAGCTGCTCTCAAGCTCAGGTGTTCAGGATCAGAACAAAATGCTCACCATGAAGTGCTTGCTGTGGCTTGCGATGCCTCTGCTTTGCTCTCCAGTGGAACAATGCTCTGTGCAAAACTGTCTGTCCCCTGCCTCTGTGTAGAAATGGGAATTCTGGTTTAGGCTGGCTCAGTTTGAGTGGAAAAATACTTTAAGGACATTGTGACTACATGGAAGCTACTCATTGGTGTAAAGTTGTCCTGTAAGCAGTCCAAATATAACATGTTTCTGAACCTTGTGCCTTGAAACAGCATGGCAGACTGTGGGATAAGGTCCCACTCTTCAGTGCTTCCAGGCCACAGAGCAGCAGCAGCCACTGACATCCCAAGTGGGGAGCTCTTCATGCTCCAGTGGGAAAATGAACTCACTGGGAAATGTGTGGGCCGTTGTGCAGTGGCCACTCACGCTCAGGACACGGTGCATGTTTGCTCAGTCGATGGTGTTGCCGAAGTGAATGTGGTGACTGCACAACCTCACTCACTCGTATTAGCAAAATGTGCAGAAGGTTCTGTCACCCAGTTGTAAAAATGATGGCAGGCATCGATGTGCAGTTGTAACATATGGGAAGTACAGTGAATGTGGGTGGAGCTGTTCATTTCTCATCTTGAATCATTTACGAGATCAGCAGGCAGGCCAGATACAATGCATATGGGAATGTGTGGCTGTGCTGCACATGTCACACGTAATAGCAGACACTGTGAGAGGGCCCAGAGCCTGTCCTCGGGAGCTGACTGCACCGGAGCAGGCTGGTCGTCCCAGCGTGCAGAGCAAGGGCCAGCTTGGCAGCAATTTTGGGAGAGCAGAATGGTAGACAGAATTTGGGAATTAATAGACTGAGATGTGCACTGATGAAATCTACTCCCTCGTTATCATGACCCTGAGCTGTAGGAAGGAACATTATTAACCCTGTATCTGGAGCTGGCTACAGGTGATACAAGTAAAGGTTTGGTCTGCCAGATAAGCTCAGTTCAGCTCCTGCTTCATTTTCTACCTCTGTTTAAGGGGCAAGACTGATGTAACATGATAAAGTTATGAAACATGCTAGAGAATTCTGTATTTACAAAAGTTAATTCAAATTACCCATTACAGGATATGGTAGGATACAGAGCTTTACAATGGAGAGCACTTAAGGCCCATATCCAGAGATGTTTTTGTGGTTTGCATGGGCTACCTTTGAATATCTAGTAGAAAGTGTAGTTTTGATATAATTTCTATGAGCTGGAAAATACTTCAGTCTGTGTGCCAGAACTGGAGGTGGTTCCTTGCACTGAAGTGGTCTCTTCAGCTGGAGCCTTCTACTCACAAGGGAAGAGGGAAGGTCCTTTCCTTGTGGGCTCCTTCAGTGGAGATTCCTTTGCATGCAGGGTGCATTGGTCGTTTTGCTGCAGAAATGTTGATGAGAGGTTTGTGCACTTAACTGTGTCTTTAGTTGCAGTGCCAGAAATGTTGTGTAAGGTGGTCTCTCAAAGACTCTTAGAACAGACTGAAATGCTAGCATTGTGGGAAAGGTACTAACGTAATGAGGAACTCAGCAGAAACTTGCATTTTAATGGCTTGAATCCAGACTGTAGTTGGTCGTTGTTGAATGGGACTTTTGTACTATCTGAGGTGACCGTGCACACAGAGGATCTCTTAGCCTTGAGGCTCTACCTAAGTAGGGTGGCACTGGAGGTTTTTTTGGTTGCCTGAAGGCAGCACATTCCAGTTACACTTACCTACAAGTACTGTTATAAAGTAGTAGGTGCTCTATAAATAAAGGACTGGAAGATGCCTTTATTACAAATAAAGAAGTGTGATAAGGTTGCAAAATGTCAAGTTAAAGGAAATCAATGGCAAAATCGTAAGCAGAACTCAGCTCTCCAGTCTGAAACTGATACACTGCCTCCAGCAAACAGTGCAGTTGTCCTTGCACTCAGTGGGAGCGACCTGATGCTCTGTAGGTGCAAGTATCTTTAAAAACAGAACAACAAAAAAACGTGCAAGGGCATTTTGTATGAGAAAATTTTGTTTCGGGTTGGGTTTTTTGTTGGGTTTTTTTGGGAGTTCCATGCCCCTGAATTCACACTTAGTAAAGAAATCAAGCATGAACAGCCCATGTATCTATGTGCTACAGTTTAGAAAGTATAGGGAACATGAAACTGAACGCACAGTGTGTATGTATTTAACAGAATATTCGGTGCTATTAAAGTGGTCTTTTTGTTTACTTCATTGGATATTTACAAACCTGCTGTCACTGTCTGCAACCCTGCTGCAGTTTTTTTTTTGTTCTGATCCCCAGGAGATGGTCCTGCGGCTCCCCACATCCCTCTCTGCAATATGTATTAGCAGAGTAACAGGGCAGGATGAAATATATCCATTCAGAGTGTTCACTGTAGGATTCTTGTAATTTGACTTCAAAGAAAGTGGCTGACAGATACAGACCACTAAATGCTGTTTTTGATATAAATTTTGAGATTTCACTATCAAGAAATTTGGAGGTGTTTACTAATGCAGGCATTTGAACAATCCTGGTTAAGAATGTGAATATTCAGAGCAATTATCTTAGCTGAGTTATGACAGCTGTACAAGTCTAAGCTACCACATGGAGTTGAAAGTAAAAAATTCTGAAAATCATATGCCTTATTGTGAGCATGTAACTAATTCCATTAAAAACAGAGACCATACGAGAGATGCAGCATGCACCTTGTTTAGTGAAAGCTGTATTTCAATATGTTGAGCAAGAAATCCTTTTAAAAAAAACAAGTGGAAAGTTTGGATCTAGCCATAACAAAAAGTAAGTTGTTTCCTGCTTCCCAAGCACATTTTTCTCTAGATTCAGATATTTACAAAGATTCAAAGATATCTGTGAGGTCTTCTAGTTAAAGGTGTTTCCACTTAAAGAATGGATGAAATGCATTTAATGTGAAAGCATTTTCCAGTTTATTTCCATTTACTTCCCTTGCTACAGATCCAGGCAAACTTAAAAATGTTCACGGTGGCATTCAGAGTGCTAAGCAGTCACTGGAGATGTCTGGGGTTGGGGATTAAAAGGAAAAGGTGCAGCTGCCCTCTGTATAGCAGTGTCACAAAGCGGGACCCTTGGGCTCTTTGTGTCTTTCCAGAGAAATCCCCGCCTTTCTGCTGGAGAGCACCTGATCTATACTGGAGAAAGAGCAAGGCATAGCTTACGGCATAGCTTGCATAGCTGCAGATGTTGGGATACAGCCCTGGGGCCTTTACTGATGTTGTGACACTGACTTGCTGTCCTGTCATGAGAAGGGCAGACATGTAGAAATGCTTGTTGAAAGCATCAAGTCAAAATGCACCGCATGCCCACCCTGGGAGCAAAAGAAGTCCCAGCGCAATGCCACACAGCGCTCTGTCACCTGGCAGCTTCACCTGCAGTGCAAATGTCTGAGCCCTGCAGTGCACTCCCACTTCAGGCACAGTGCAATCCTTTCATCTCTTTCTCCAGGTTGCACCAGCTGGACAAGCACTGCCAGGCCACTGCCCAGCAGCTCGTGGAGCTCCTCAACAAACAGAATCAGCTCTTCAAAGAGAAGCAGCTGCTGACAGAAGAAGTGCAGTTTCTGCGAACACAGGTACTTGTGCCAAAAGAAAAGGAAGTCTGAGGGGAATGTTCTGCAGCTTTAGCAGAGAAATCCACCAGCAGTCTCTTTTCAACTGCTGGCTTTTGTTGGTGTTTCAAATAAGGTATTAACTTATGAAAAAGAGAAATTAGTCCATTAAATTGGAGAGAGACTGTTAGCTGGACCTGAATCCCACTTCAGCCCAAACTAAAGGAAGAAGTGTTTTGAAGAGACAGGAGAACAGCAGCAGTTATTCTTGGTTACAGTTCCTAGCTTTCTTATCAGAAGATTTTTGTGTTCCCTATTCAGAGATAAGGCAAATTCGCTCTTCCACAGCATTATCATTTGAACAGTAGCTGAGGCAGGGTTTCCTGTTGTTTCCTGTTGTGGCAGACAAACCTGGTAACTAAGATAGTGTTGGGTTATCAGCATGTAGTAACTACTGGCAAGCGTGAGGGCAACAGCAGTGTTCTCTCTGTAAGGCAGCTAAGGAAGGTTTGCTGTTCACAGATGAAAATGACTACTTGAAGGGAAGCACTCTTAGTAATAGGAAAAGACTTTATAAGAAGTCCACAGGGATTCTGTTATTGATAATCTCTTTTATCTGGAAGTAAATGTGCTTTTATTGAGTTGGGCAGAAGTACAAAAATCATACAAAAGAGGAAAACTATCATTGAGCTATATTGCTATCAAGTCTTGACTTCCTTTTGTATCTTCATTAGGAGTTGATTATGCTTCAGAGGATGCTTTTACTTGGGAACACTTAGAAGAAAAATTTTTTAGAACTTATTACAAAATGAGTACTAAGAACCTATTTGCAGCTATTTAAAACAGCAGTGTTCTCTGGGAACTGGGATTCAGCCCAAGAGAGCTGCCCGGAATATCAGACAATTGCTTGAAGAAAAGGACAATTCACCATAAATGGGAAACTTTACATAGAGAAAGATGTATTTAGTTATTTTAGAAAGATGTATTTTCTAACTTCAGTTGTGTAATCAGTATTGATTAAAGGTGAAAATATACCTTGGTTTACTGCCTTACTCAATTGTTACCCTTTACAGTTAGCTTGGGTTCTGGGGAAAGGGAGAGAAACCAATTATACTGAATCCTTGCAAAATGATGTCAGATACACTAAGTGAAATTTGCTGTTGTATCTTGGAAGATAAGCAGTTGTGTATTTCAGGAAAAGAAATGGGATGCAGATCTCAAACAGGACACAGATGGAATCAAGTGAAAACCTGGATGGATGAAGAAAAATGAGAACAAGTAGGTATTTTTTCTGTACACTATATATAGAGAAAAAGGAGAGAGAGGAAAGAAAGCTAAAACTATTTGCAGATGTGGGCTGAATCTGGCAAACACTTCAAGACAAAAGGGAGAAAAAAGTGTTTGAAATATTTTGGGGCTAGAAACTGTCAGTGTGTTGTTAGTGGTTTTTTTTCCACATTTAAAGATCAGGGCAAGCACTCCACAATAGAAGCAGGTTTACATGACAAAATTAAAATAAACAAAACCTTTAAAATTTAAACTGGAAGGAAAGACATACAAATCTTGACCTGGTGGGAACTTGCAGGAGTGACCAAGGCAAATGCCACAGGACTCAAAAATGTCTCTGACATTCTCAGCAATGAATTATATCCTTTGAAACAATGACATGAAGAATCCCAATAAATCACCTTCCTGCAAATTTGGGGCTCTGTTTGTCCCACAGACAGAGGATAGCAGAAGGCTCCAATTATCTATACACCTTCCCACTCTAGCACTGATTTATTTCACTGTTAATGCTTTCCCAGTTCATTTCCTTGTCAAACTTCCCTTATGTATCTTCTTTTCTAAAATGTGAAGTATGCTGTAGGCAGAGACCTTGGGAAGTGGAGAAGTAGGATTTTGTCATTCCAGCATAAGGCAGTAATGGGTACAACATGATGAAGATTCTCAAATCATAATTTTAATTTTCATGGAGCTAAAAAGGATTGGTATGATAATTCAGCCTGAGCTTACAGTGTGTGCTGCAGATGAAGCCATTACACTGATGTTTAATAGATGTCATTAATAGTTAATAATGGAATATAGTTTACCATAGGCAGATCCACCTGAAGGCAGACAAAAGTTTAATTACAGGATTTATACCTCTTATTTTGAAAGCTTTTGGAAGATTCATAATTTGAGTTTCTGCTTTTGAAAGTCTTAAATCACCAGTCACTCTAAATCAAGAGAGCGAGATACACAGCTCCCATCCTGGGTACTAAACACGAGTGTACATAATATAGTAAACAAAACAAAACAGAGAAAAAACTGAGATTTCTAAAAAACTCAGTACTGTCTACCCAACATTTCTGAATGCTGGAATGCTCTTCACTTGCAGGATCTGCCCTGGTGTCCATCAGTTATACAGAAGTAGGTATCTGTCCCAGTTTGTAATCCCCCTGCAGACTGCGGGTGCCTGAGGGGCCACTGCCAGCCGTGTCCCACCTGTGTGCACACAGCTAAGGGGGCTGGGACCTTGGGTTACTACCAGCCAGATCTGCCTTCTCCCTTGAACATCTCCCTGTGCTCTCCAGATTGTGCCAATGAACCTGCCTCCTCACTCATTTGAGACGTCCTGTTTTACAGCAAGCCTGTGACTAAACCACTCTTCCTATAGGAATATAAAATATACTCAACCTTGAGTATATTCCCCCCCCCTCACTTCATACAGGTACTTTTAGAGTTGCAGCTGTTCTGAGCTGAGATGTTCTTTGTCTTCTTATGTCTGTTGTGGGGCCCCAGCAACAAGCACAGAGTTTGGATGGGTTCCCAAGTGCTTTAGTTTGCCCTTTTTTTCAACTTAAGTGCTGAAGCTGCCCTTTGCACAGCCATAAGATGAGTAGCACTTCCATCTTAGATGTCGGAATTGATTTGGGCTGATCCTTACAAGGTCCTCACTTCTTTCAGGAGTCTACTTGGTGGGGAGGAGGGCCTTATTTTTTAGTGCAGTCTTAATGTACAAAAATGTGCTTTTGCCAGGTTTTTGTAACAGCCAGTGACATTCTGCAGACAAGGTATGATTTTTTGAGCAATGATGAGTTATTTAACTATGAAAGGAAGAGAGGGAGACAGCCAGCACAGCATCTGATGCCTGGCTGCCCTGATAATAATGCTTCCAGTGCTGCATCGTGTGAGCATGGCCAGTTCCGTGAGCCTGCAGCTGTAGGCAGGATCCGCACCTCCTGCAAGGTGCCTGGCCAGGAGCACAGCAGTGCAGGGTGGGTGTAGTTTGTCATCTTCTGTCTGGTGCTGGCCCTACGCAGAGGGGTTAGTGCAGCACAGAGGAGGCTTCCTCTGAGCACTCACTGATACTGAGTTCAACCTCTATGTCTTTCCCTGGATTTCGCTCGTGTTGCAGCGCGCTGATCACCACCGCAGGTAATGTGGTGCATGTATTCTTGGAAAAAAAAATACCATGTTACTGTTTTTAATTAATTCTTTAATGAACTGCAGCATTATAAATCCTTTTTTAACTCTGCCTTCATTACCTTATCAAGTTTTGTTGTGTTTTTTAAAGAAAAACCCTTAAGTCCTCTAACATAAAACCAGCTGATGTGGAAAGTTTATTTTTATTTCTGAGGTCATTTACATCTCTTAGAATTCAAATTTCAGAACTTCAGTCACTTAATTCTGGGTGTCCACCCCAGCTCCAGCAGAGCTTTATCTCTCGGTCTTAATGAAGTGCTGAAGTGCTACTGAGGAAGCACAAACAATAGCTATGCAAGAGCTTCAAAACTGTGTATTAGCCTTCCCACCAGAGGTTTTCTAACAGCGTGCAGGCAGCTTCCTGTTTTGATACAGCTGCCCACCCCATATACAGTCTGTACAATTCACAGTAAACACTCTCTGGCACAACCCTGCCTCCTCCTTCCTGGAAGGGAGAAGGGGCAGGATCTAAGACGTGCCCCAAAACAGCAGCTCAGTCATTTACTGCTAAACACGAGTGATGGCTAAAGCTCAGGGAGACCTTGTTTTTCAGAAATCAAACAGCTCCTGCGCTTGTTACCTGGAAGAGTTCTGATCTTAGAAAGAGGCAGGACAGCAGGCCCACAGGAAGCCAGGCTTTGGAACAGTGCTTGTTTACAATTGCCACATTCTTAACCATTTATGTATTTCTCTTCTAAGCACTCACCCCCAGGCTGAAGTGACACAAACGAGAAGTGCAAGTAGCTCCATACACACTACTTACGCTCCGCTCCCATCTCTTTCTTCTTTCAGTTCTCCTCTGTACGCGCCTGAAACTTGGGCTTCTCTGAAGCTCACACAGAGAACCATTTGCAGAGAAGCAGACATGCTGCCTACCCTCACCTGCTTTGCATTTGTTTTTAACTATAGTGCCATCAACATACTGAAACATTACTCCCCTACTGAACTTTCTAGGAAGACATCTCAGACTTGCCTAAGACACTGCGATCCAATGTCAACAGCTGTGATGGAGCACGTACTGGATTTGTTATTTCTACAATTTTTATAAAATGTTTTTATCTATTTTTGTAATACAGATGTCTGTCTTATTTACCGATGGCAGTCCTAATAAATTAGTTTATTAATTCTTTTTCTCCTGGTTGCATCCTTTTGTATTCAAGGGAAGGCATGTGTATGTGGAAAAGGAGACTGTGCAAGCCTAGCACAGATACATCAGGCTTGTGTTAAGGACTCACTACCAGCACCTACCTGGGAGGTTTACAAAGTGTTTGTCTCCTTTACACAAAAATCTGAGTCCTAACAAATAACTACTTATTCAGCAGAAGAGCATGAGAATGATTGAGTCATTTCCCTGGGGCAGGTTTCCCTTTAGTGGTCAAAGCCTTGGGGACAAAAAGACCCATGCTAGCAAGGCATTGCGGTGCAGGGTTCCTGCCACCAAGGAAGCTGTTTGGGACCCCCCTGCTGGCAGACACTCGGCTGTCTCAGGGATGGGCAGCAGCTGAACTCAAATGCAAATTATTAAACTTGAAACATTTGGCAATACATTTGGAGGACTTTTTTTTTTCAGCTTGCCTTCATGTTTGTATTTTTAAAATGACTTTCCAAATGCCAGGCTCTTTCAAAAAGATTTTATCTGAATCTTTTGCTGAACTACTGCATGATAAACTATACAAGAAAAAAGTTTCTACATTCAGTGTAATTGCTGAATCGCAGTGGTAAAGAGAAGAAAAAAGTGCAGAGAACGATTCCCCTGTGATAAAGCTACCCCAGCCAGCATGAACACATGAAACGTAGCAAAAATAGGAGTAACGGCACATGCACCAACCATTTGCTGTGGGACGCAATCTTTCTTTCCCTTGTATTTCAGGAATTATTAGTGGTACAGCTTTAACATCAAAGTGGTTTTCTTCCCATTTCAATTTCCTGCCATATGAAACTGCCAAGCACATCTGAGCCCTCCCCAGCCTGCCTCCCTGCCATGACAGTAAACGTGCTTCCACTGCCTCAGGTTTGTCAGGAAGGAACGCCTGACAAAGGTTTCTGTCTAGCACAAGTGTGGGCTCTCCACACTCACGGACATCTTTTTCTGTAACTGACACTACTTTATAGATAGGTAAGAACGCATTTATAAAGGTAAGAATCTGCAAACTTTTTTTTCTACACCATAAATCTATGTTTCAATAGGAGAAGTGTCTCTCGGCTACATGTGCATAGGAACTCAGGCACCGAGTCCCAACACTGAGGCTTCACTGAGACCCTGGAGCAGCACCTCACCCTTCCTGGACCTGCCTCACTGCCAGCTGGTGCTGGTGGCATTGTGGAGAGGGCAACTGCCAGCCACTGGGGTGCACATCTACAAGGACCAACTTCTCTGCAGCAGCTTCTCTGCTTGTAGCAGTTGCTTATTTGCTGGGCACAGACAGGGCCAGGTCTTCCCAACTCCCATTTCCCCCGCCTCACCATTTAGCCACAAAATGCTTGGTTTTATAAAGTATACAAAAGCCAGATGAGGTGATCAAACCCAGGATCCCTGTCTCAGCTGGAGCATCACCCCCTGATGTGCTCTGTGCCCGTACCTCCACGCAGACTGAACAGATGGTCCTGCTGTCCCAGCTGAGGCCCAGTCACTGATCTGCTATTGCAACTGCAACTATCTCTCTTGTGCTCCATCCTTCCTATTGGGGAAGAAAAAAGAAAAAAAAAAGAAGAAGAAGAAGAAGAAAAAAGAGCTGGCTCACACATTTTCTCACATTTCAGGGAAGGGTTCATGTCTGAGAACTGAGCTGATGCCCAGACTGCTCAGGGACACTCAGCCCTCCTGACCCAAACAGGCCAGCTGGGCTTCAATGAGTCCCACCTCAAGGTGCCCTGCAAATCACACCTCCCCTGACTCCCTCCTCCAGCACATTACCTAGCTAAAGGATTTGAGAACATGAATTGCACTAGAGGACAACGCACTTAAATACTGGGTGTTCTGATAGAATGCAGCCCTGTGTAATCATTACTTGGAAATTAAAACCCAAATTTACTTTTAAAAGATACATATACCTCAAAGAGTTAACATGAACCACGTGTGTGGAAACAGCCTTGGTCCACAGCACAAATACATCTTGCTTAGCCAGAAAAGCCTTTCTTGGTGACAATACTGTAACTGAATTTACAAGCTGAAACTGCTCACCCAGTATCTGAAATAGGTCACGACAAGAACAGTTACCACGAGGACTTCACAGCAAATAAACTTGTAACTAAACATGCACAGATCATTATACATACAGTGATAAAAAAATAACGATGTACATTTTCTTGTAAGAAGAAATTAAGTCAATTCTTTGTGCATTTCAGGATCGAAACATCTAACCTATATAAAATTATTTTAAAATATGAAGTAAATATTTAAACCAAAACTCAAGAGATCTTTTGTAATCTGCAAAACCACCTTCTCGCTTCCATTCTTCTGTCTCTTACACAGAACAAATTCAGAACTTTATCCTCTAAGATACTTAATGTGCAGATATAAAAAAATATGTCCTTTGTGGCAAGCCTGAACATATATATATAATATATTTACAAACCTCCAGAACAAATTAGCATTAAAAAACACAGAAGTAGCAGATTGACATAGTGCTTTATTTAAGCTGTCTGTACGAAGGAAAATAATGTGCATCCCTATCATATATGTGTAAAAATACTAAGGATGTACAGTGTACAAAAACAGTTTCTTGTAGTTATTTCACATCCTTGTGGGTCATATACTTAAGGAAATAAACAGTTTAAGTATGACCAACAGTAATACGGTTTCTTGGGTTCATAGTCGTGTCTGCTTAATATCCTTAACCATATGACTAGATCTTGCATGGATCTAATGAAAGAACTAGCAAGGTCAAGAAATGTCACAAACTCTAAAGCTACAGGGAGGTAATTCAATTACCAATTTAGAGGTTTTTATTTAAATAAATACTTTACATTTCATGCTTGCCTGTAATGCACTACCAGGAGCAAGATAAGGAAATTCTACTGTAGACAGTACAAACAGTAGCAGCAAAGTGTGTACATTGAGGTGTAATATATAGACCCTGCAGTTAGTAAGGAGACACCTTACTTTTGTACTCTAGGAGAAGCACATGGCCCCTGCAAGAACAGTCAGCTTTAAGAAGCCGCGAGGATAGATGGAAAAAATGGAAAACAATACTGGAATAAATGTTCTTTAAGCAACAGGAATGTACTGGAAGATGGATTCGTGTGGAAAGCAAAGCTGTGTGCAAAACTGCCAAAACCCAAACAGAAATGACCTATTTCTCCAAGATGGCTGCAGTACAAGAGGGCATAGTGTATGTCATGGAAGTCAGTACAAGCTGGAGTCAGCATCTGAAACGTACTGTGCTCAGAAGGCTCATCAGGTACCCAGCCACCACCACGTGCTGCCCAAGCCCAACTACAACCGCAAGTGGGGAAAAAAAGAGCTTTCAAAGTTTCTCTCAGCACAGCCTGAATTCTTCTTTCATCCATTTCTAACACTGCTCAGAGAGAATCCCCCAGCCTGGGGCAGCATTAAATGACTGCTAACTCTTCATAGTATATACTTGATGAATGAGACTTTGGAAGGCAGCAACACAATGCAAGTTGAATGAAGCCTTAAGAGGTTTCCAAAGAATTCACCGACAGATATTTACTGCAAACTGCATTCTAACGAGCTATGCAATGATGAATCAAACCCACCTACAGGGCCCCTTTCTTCTCAGCATGAGGAAGGGTTGGCCAGAGGCACAGCTCCACTCAGCCAAGAACTATAGGTGCCCTGTGTCAAAAACCTTATTGCTGTTATAAGCTGAAAACGTTGGAAAAAAATAACACCACAGGCACAGAACACAGATTTTGAACCACCATAGTTTCAGCCTCTTAAGCTTGAGGCCTTTGCAGAAAATTATAATGCCCATCTACTGCGTCATCAGTTACTTCAGTCACTCACTCGCTGTCAGCACAGACACTTCTACAGACCTGCCATGCATTTACTGCGCTCACTCCGTACAGAGGGATAATCTTTACACATTTAGTGTTAGAAGGTGACAGCATCAGATCCTATGTACTTAGCATATACATCGTGATACAGTTCTAACTGATTATCCGTCCATCACTAAAGATAAAACATGAAACACTAAAAATTGTCTAAACTAGTCTGCGTCTTTAGCTGCCTTGCTGAAATGCCCGATTGCCCCTTGTCAGTCCCAGCACGTGCACTGCCAGCAGTGGGCTTCACGCCGGGACACTCAACTCCACATCAAGGGGCTAAGGAGGCATCTGGTATGGTCTCCTTTCAGACTCATCCCCTCACTCACACAGCGCAATGTTCTGATATCACAGTCTTTGTGGGAGCTAAAAAGATACAAACACAGAGATACTTCCAATGATAATCCCATGGAGTTGGGGTTCTCGGATGTCGTTAGCAAGAGCGCGGTGCACATCCCTGCACTGCGTAACATCCCAGCTCCTAGCACCAACGGGTTTATTATTAAGATTATCATTGCTGAAGAAAAAAGCTAAAGTTTATGCACATGCTCTGTTAGGTACAGATCTTCAGACGTGGAAAGACATCTTCCTAGCGGCAGTGTTTCTCGCAATGTCTTAAATTCAGTCAATCTGGTACCACAGTCACGGATGACATGCTGGGTTTCACGAGGGCAAGCTTTCCTTGACAATGGCTGATCCCAGAAATTTACTATGTGACTTATCAGAATAAAGTGCTTTTCTTGTAATCACGGTGGTCTCATTGTTCAGATGTTTCCCTCACATAGAATAGAAATTTTCTATTGTGCTCTCAGGCTTTTTACAGTATCTTTATCCTGAATACAGCACAAGATGTAGTGTTCTTATTTAGTTAGTTTTAATCCTTTGACACGTGAAGTTGGAATTCCTCGTCTCCACTGCCAGAGAATTAAAAGACAGTATTTCACTCACAAAAATCTGATTCTAAGCAGTATGTACAATTTCAGAGCCTTGCTAATATCTCCACATTGGACAAAAGTGCGTTATCCCCTTCAGCTTGTACAGTCCTTCCATATATTACAACAAAATTAACTGCTCTAAGCCTGTTCTATCTAAGATGTAGCAGCATTTGCAAACATGACACATACAATCCTTATCTCTAAAAATAAATACTACCGCAGCATAACCAAAAAAAAAAAGTTAAAAAAAAAATTCAGAGTTAAACACCTGGAGAAAGAGCTAATTCACAAACTCAAAGTAAGGCAAACACCTTTTTACCCTGGTGCACACATTTGGGTGAAAAGCAATACCATTATGCCTGTCTACATTCTTCAGCCATCAGAGGTGATGTGTATCATGAAAGAAAAAGAAAAGCATGAGATAGATGTTATCTGGTGCAAATCATAAGACCCCTTAAAGAACTTCAACTGCTGCTTTTATGCCTTCATTTCTTGCATGTATAATGTTTGATTCTCCGTGATTGCACATGAACCTGGAAGTTCTAAGTGGCAGGCTGGGTGAGCCAGCCCTTCTGCTTCTTCTGTAGTATCCAACAGTAATTAAAAAATAATATATATATATATTTATATATATCAACAGTTTAAATCCTTCTTTCAAACGTTTCCCGAGCAAATTTCAGCCAGATGTTATTGACAGAGACCTGCTTCAAGTAATGATATGCCTAACAAAAACCTTGCATATGTACATCACCACCCCCGTGCTTCCTTGTTCTAAACAGCACAAACAGATGCAAGAAAATATTATAGACTAGTCTTTTTTAGACTAAGTACAATTTTGATTCATCTTCTAGAAGAAGATAAGCTGGACCAACATATTTTTTTGTTTAGCCTCCACTGCGTGGAAAATCAGATGACTATTTGTGCACAAAGTGTACAACGCTGACGTACGGTCATCTACCTTGAAAGAAACTTTGAGTAATTTCTTGACGTTGCTATTATACTGAGACGGTGGGCAGCAGCAACAGCGGGAGAGCGTAGAGAAATACCGTATTTCATGCAAAACCAAAACGGATTGTAGGTAGGTTTGGGAAAGAAATTTGTTCAATTTGGAATGGTCTCTGAAAGTGCCCCTGCTATCTTAAACGGTATCTAGAACTGGTGGTGATGTTCAGGAATCATTTTCAGTGATAAACCTAAGATGACAGTGAAGCAGCAGAACAAAAAAGTTATTCTCGTCCACTTGCAGAGTAGGAAAACTGGGGGAAATGCGGCCGCCTCTCATTGTCCATGCAGTCCATACCATCCTCGTCATCTGTAGTAAGAAAAAGAGAAATTCAAAATGTCATTACATTTATAACAACATTTTATTTTCCATCTGATACGCAGCCCATCTTTCAGAGCTCAGTGCTGAAGTTAAGGGCTCACGCTCACTCGGTAGAATTCAGTAAGCCATCTTTTATAGCAGTGCAGCGGGGTTTTTTTGCTTGCTTTGGTTTATTGAGGCTTTTGTTTTGTTTTGTTTGCACTATGACTATCACCGGAGGACTTCAATCACTACTACCTCGTCTGAGCTAATCAAAACACGCCAGCACATCTATTCTTCTGGGAGCATAGGAAAAAAGAAGACCTTGCTCATGGAAGCAGTGAAACAGATTTCACTGCTTCTTAAGCTGAGTCCAGAAAATGATCATCTTCTTGCAGACATATATAAGTACTTTTCCCTTTTGAAGAGAGTTAAAAGGAAGAACATCAACAAAATTAACAATTCATAAAGGTTCTATGTATTTCAATTCTTACATATTATTTTTTAGTAAACTATTTTGTAGTATATAGGGGAATCGGAAGAAATCAGCGCTAAGCCAAATTCACAAATATTTTTATTTACATAATTCCTGTTGTGCCAGTGGAACCTAGACCCCACATGTTGCCTGACTCTGAGAATTTGGATCTACATTCATGTGGATTTTTAAACAGTGCTTATCCTTGAAGACACCTATTGAAACTGTGACTCATGCAACAGTGCACTTCTGTGGAACCTTTTAGAATTGTATGTCATGTTATAGGTGCAGTTTGGTTACTGAATATACAAGATATGTTGTCAGCATCCATGCACTGCTGCTGGTAATCACCCTTATTTTATTATTCTTACAGCCAGGGTGGGCTGTAGCCTATGCTGCTTCAAACAGCAGCAGCAATGCCATTACCAGAGGCCAGGGCAGGTGCTAGTGGGAGACAGGTAGCTTCTCTGAGCTGGTATTAATTGCCTGCTCCAAATTCAAAAAATTCAAATCTGAAATCTCAGTAGTATCCAAGTATTTTGTGTTGCTTCAGTAGTCAGTGAAGAAATATCCATTATCAGTGCACATGTGGAGTTCCAAGAATCATGACTTTATGGCACTCAGTCAACAGGCTCTAAATTAATCCATACTTAAACAAAATTTGTTCAAATTTAAGATATGAACAAATTATTAAGATAGATGGGAAAAAAACAGCAATTTTTTCCAGAGCAAGAGGACTTAAAAATCACTTGAATGGCTGCAATCAAATACAACAAATACAAAGCCCAGAAAAGTACTGCAGATTTGTGCAGTACCACAAACCTATGGCTAAAGCTGGGAATCCTAACTCAAGGGAAAAGGAGCCTTCTATATGACTGGGTAATCAACTTTAATTACAGAAGTTACTGCCTACTTTTATGACCCCCTTTTCCATCCCCCCAATTAAAAAAATAATCTAAGAAAGGAATTGAGCAGCAAGACTTTAACCACGCTTTAGCGCTGGCTTGGCAGTGACTCCGTTAAGCCCCAGCTTGGCTGATTCCTGTGCGCAGCAGGAGATGATCAAACAGTGGTGCAGTTAAATCCACTCCAACACAGAAGGCTTGTGCAAGGCCCACTGCACCAATTACGTCTACATTAACAACTTCTTTAAGAGCTCTGCTAAGTACACGACTTGATAGGAAATTTCATTTTCAAATAATTTTCATGTAATGGATATCTACACAAGGGACATCCACTTGTCTCCGGCAGCTTTTTTCCTTTTCTTTTTTTTGTCTGAAGAATACTTTAAAATATACATGTCTGGGACACATACAGCCACCCAGCAATCCGAAGCTGGTGTTTTCCAGAAAAAGAGAATGACAGAACTGTAAGCTAAGTTAAATAAAAATAATATTAACATGCAAACGAACAAAACACACACAGTGATCTAATGCTTTAAGCTTTGTAATTATTCCTTCTTCAAAAGAACTCTCTTTTTGGGAGCTACTTTTACACACCTCCATACGAAGATTTTTGCTATTAACAGTGAGAATACCTTTCCCATTCAAACTGAAGAGCCTTCTCACACAGCGCTCTATCATAAACTTGTTAAGTTATGCTCCTGTATAATTTTTGACTTACATTTTTCAGGCGGTGTTATTGTAATAGTCTGAGCTGTAAATTCTTCATCAAAATACCTGGTGTCTGTCTCAGATGTCACTTGAGGTTTAAAAGGAGGTACAAGCTGAAAGAGACCAAGAAACAGAACAAGATTACTATACGTGAAGCTAACCAAATTATCACAGGACAGGAATTACAGTTTTTCTTTTTTCCCTACACCCTATATCTAACAGAGTTACAAAGGGGTCACTGAGAGACAGCTGAGTCTCTAACTCCTGGTAAGAGATACATGTCATTATAGACAATCTCAACAATACTAGTTCAAAGCAAATGACCTGCACCAGCCTTGTTCCCTGTATCTTCCAGAAGAACAGCCCATAGGTCAGAGATTCTAACCAGAATGCCCATTCAGTAGCATACTGCACACTGTAATGTGCAGTCCAAAACTACACAGCAGTTTAGTATATATGATATTATAATGTGTTCAAATCTGAGTTTAAAACTGCCACCCAGTTCTTCCTATGTTTTCCTTCTCACATCAGACGTATTACACTAACCACTGACAACATGCAAGTTTTCTTAGCTGGATAAAGTCACCTTCACCATCTTTGGTACTACAAAACTCACAGTAAGACACTGTGTGGTTTGGACATGGTACCAGATTCTGCTCTCCTTTCCAGGAGAGAGCTTCAGCATTAACTTTCACTCAGCAGTTTGACCCTTCTCTCCCTGCAATGGTTCGTCCTTCTATCAGCTCTATCAGCTCTATTTCATTTGATCCAAATCTTCACCTCTTATGTGAGGAGGAGGAGAAGACAGTGGCTTACACAGTCTGTAACAAATACTATTTAGAACAAAGTGGTTGATGAAAAACAAAAGGTAGTGCAGGGTAAGATCACAACATATAGCCATGTATGGATTTGCAGCTGAGGAAGAAAGAAAGCGATGCATTAGCTGATCTGTTCTTCCATAAAGGAGGTTGGTTGGTCCTCCAGCGCTACACTGAGGAGCCAGACTTCTAAATGAATAGACAAGTGCTCATCGACACCTCCCCGTGAGCCAGATGATGAAAATGCCAGCGATGCCACAAGTCCAGATGTCTGTGTAAGTAAAAGAAGAAGACAAGAAACTCCAGTCTATAACCAGAGGGGAAGAACCCAGTGCAAATTTGCAACACTGGTGTTCAGCGATTCACTCATCTTACAGAAGCACCTTTCATTTTCTAGACATGAAAAGCAGTAGGAGGCTTCAGAGGCTGCAAAAAACAAACCATGCAGCCATGCAGCTTCTCCACAAAAGCTCATGCTGTATTTATCCAGGCGGCACCTTCACACACACTGACGCTTATGGGAAAGGGGAAACGGCAGCTGAGATCAAGAGGCACAAACACAACTCAAGAGAACAGCAGGGAGGTTCCTTCACTCTTCTCACATGCTCTGCCTCCTTCCCTCACCACATCTCCACCAGCTGGGAGGTCCCCTGAACTTCTTCTTGTCCTGCTCTCCTGGCCTTTAACCAGCACAGCCGTTTCTAAAGGCCTGCTGGCTTCCCACTCCAGAAGCCCTGTCTGCCACCACATACACACCTTCCCCTTCCTCAAACAGAGTCTTTCTCTGACCTTCATATAAGTGCAGAATGACTTTGAAGACAAACTCCTTGTTTTAAAGGAAGAGCCTCTAGAACAGTTTACCAGTCCCTCCACAATTCTTGTCAAGACACAAGGAACTTCCACACACTGCTTGGGCATCATCTCCAGAAGAAATTGGGAGAAATACAGTACAAAATCCTTTCCTGTCACATAAAGCAGAAGCTGGGAGAATGGTATGAGTGATGTGCGTAAGTGCACACAGAAGGGCACTGTACCTCACCAGTACAGCCGGGAGATTATAGACTGAACCACTCACTTGAGACAGATTTTGTAAGGCATGTCACCAACATGCCGGGCCATGCTACAGAAACTTGGCAATTATCTTTCTGGAGTGATGCCATCTTTGTTCATTAACTGTCAGCTTTTATTTAAAAGCAGAAAGTAAAATCTCCAAAAATCTCAGCTGCAGTGAAACTGCTAGGAAGACAAATAAGGTGCAACTCCTGCACAGATAACCACTTACACTGACACAGAGCCTATATAACAACCCAGAAACTTTTCCACGCAACCCAGAAGGGTGAACAAAATACACAATATTGAGTACAGCCCTGATAACCACAACATGATGTTGCCTCTCCATGCTCAGTGGTATTGGTGCTTTGGTGTCACAGAGAAATGGTATCTAACAGCTCTCACCACTTCTGACCCATGAAATCAGAAAGTCCCAAAACAGTAATGCGAGTACCACAAGGCACACATGGTGACAGGTGTCCAAAAGGAATAATAGAAGCGTCAGCTAAACACAATCCTTGTCTCCTGCTGCTCAATCCTGGCTGCCTGGATGTGACAATTTGCCCTTTTCTAACACTTTGTTCCATTTCAGGCAGACCCTTCAACCAGAGAGGAGACTCTGTCTTCAGCAATTGACTCTAAGGACCAAAAAACACACGTTTTGTGCGTTCATTATTATTGTGTATTATACACACACACACACAAACACATGTATGTGTACATACGTACACGTGTGCAAATAAAGAAATGAAAGACTAAATTCAGCACTGAGTTAACTGTCTGTAAGAGGTGATGTTTAAGACAAATCCAATTTCATACCTGTCAATCTGAATCTACCCCAGACATTTCCAAGGCTTAATGTTAGAAATGACAGCAGAAGCAGTATCAAATTCTTAGTATTTTCATTATCGTATATTATGGCATTTCCATTTGGCATCCATCAAGAGTAACACGTGAGGAACACCACTGTTTTCCCACAGTTCAAGACCCAGAAAACTTGTCACCCACCTCTTGGGGGAACACAAGGGGCAGGTAGGCACCTGAGTACTTCAATCACATAGAAATGAACAGGCAGCCTCTGTGTTTGAGCTTTTTCATGCTGATGTAACAGCTACACTAGTACTTCTGTACAAGAGGAAATATACATGTTATTAGCTCAAATACAACCTGACAGGAAACATTTGTCTTGGATCATATGGGAAGTGACCTGAGCTGCTTTAGAGTGTCTGTGACGTACTCGACCTGTCAAGTGAAAAATGAGATGCTTAAGAATTGTTATTGTCCCTCTCCTTTTAATTTAAAAGGAATTTTCCTTCCAATGAACTCAAAATTATCGAAGCCACAAGAATCCCACCCACCAACAGCTGAAAACCACTCTGAGATGAAGTGCTAAAGGAGGAAGAGGTGCAGCTGTACACCACCCTCTCTGAATTGTTCGCGCTATTTAAATAAACTATGTAAGTGGATTATAACCTCAAAACTCACAAACACGAATTCTTTAAGTATTGTATCAATGTAAAGAAGTGAGCACTGTTGTCCAGGTTCTGTTTTTATTCACAAGGGATAACGATTTGAATCTTACATCTGTGGTTCAACTTCAGTATGACATTCTGATTTGTTCAATCAAAAACAAGATCACTGCTGCATCCCAATGTGTTTTCCTCTTCTATACTAACAAATCACAGTGTATGACAAAAATTCTTTGTTCCTCAGAGTTTACACATTTTGAAAATGCAGTTGTTTCTCTAATACAAAATATATTTCAGTAATGCCTTGCACTGCCATCAAATGCTGCATTTCAACAGTTGCCAGTTAGTTTATTATTTAGGTCTGATACATGTCAAAACCTGTGTCAAATGCTACAGTTCTTCCCGGCTACAGAAGTTAATTATACGTTGGTAGTTAAGTGTTCAACATCTGATGTCCAGAAATCGAACTTCCATCTATGTTGAACTTTACTGGAGAACTACACAGAGCTGTGATTGTCAAGAATCAAACCAAAGAGTCAGATTAACCTATTGAGAACAGCAGGACAGTGAGAGGAGAATGGGGTCACAGCACTGAAATACACCTTTCCATTTCACCACAAGCACACTCAACTTTAAGTGCTGGAAACATGTCACAGTTTACAGCCTTCCCAACTCAACATACTACATAACTCACTGCAAGACATTGCAAGTAAACAGACTATTTTTATTGAAACTGAAATAACAACAAAGCAATAACAACAAAATAACACAATTAAGCGTTTTAATAAGACACTAGCAAAGTCTATCTTTAGATTTGATTTTTTTCTGATGTGTATCTGTTAATGCGTTCTCTCATTCATATGTCTTTTAAGCTCCCTTGGTGATCTTAAATATCCTGCAGATACTAACAAACTTCATGATCCTAAAGATCATGCAGGCATTACTAGTACCCAAAGCCTTAGCTCAGACTTTCAACACTAGATTGTCAAGAATATTTCCATAAAAATTTGTCTTTTAAAGTACTTGTTTTCCTTTCCTAACAACATTTTTTGATCCTTTTTCTGAAAATAGCTCAGTTACCAAAGGAAACAGGAGCTGACAAGATTTTGCACTCTGTCTACCTGGATGTCCTTTCCCCAGAAATTCTGAATGGCTGGGCAAACACACCATGATGGAGGAAAATCCTACCAAAACCACCAAATTGAGCTTATGGAGTAGGAGACAGCCATTCCCACCCCATCCCACACCCAACCTCTAAGAGAATGACAGGAACCTCAGTTGAGATTCAAAGCACAGGACAGCACAGAGCTGGAAGTGGCCCTGAACCCCAGTAAGAAACTACATGTGGGATGGGGTTGGAAGTGCTTCTGAGCAGCGGAGGAGGTGGCAGAGATGGGATTTCAGCAGTGGAAGGACACCGCTGGTTCATCAGGGTTTTGCCCACAGATGAACTTTTTTCCTCAGAGCTGCAATGAGAACAGCTTGTTTTTGAATCAAACACCTTTATGCTATACTCTGCCTTCTGTAAATTCTAGCAGCTAAGCAAAAAGGTGGCAATCAATCATAAGGTCTACATATAGCAAGTATTACTGGAGCACATTGAAAAGATCAGCCTGCTTAGCGGATTTCTGATGTTTTCACTACTTTGTATGGCAACAACACAAAAGCAAGTAATGGGTCATTTCTACAGGCTTTATTACACAGCAGGTAATCGTACCAAAATAGCATGACTCACATAGCAACTGCTTAAAACCAGATGCTGGCGTTTTCCTATTTCCCTCCTACCTCTTCCCTTAAAATCTGACCAGTGAAAGTACCTAAATACGCATTCTGCATTATACTTATGTTGCAGATTTTGCCAGATTTAAACACAGGGTTTTAATCATGGCATTTCATCTTCTGTTGTGGTTGTGCCTTAAGAAAAGCACAGGCTGGAGGCTGAGGCTGGAGGCTGAGGACCAGCATTTCACAGCTGCCTGACCTGCTGGAGAGGTGTCCTTGTGCTCAGCAGGGCTGTAATCATCCCTGCCACTTGCCCCACTACCTTCCCAGCACTAGCAGAGAAATTTGCTTCAAGAATAGTCAGAGAGACTAAGAAATCATAAGACATATGTAACTCAGCCCAAATTCCTGTCCAGCCTCTTCTTCCTTTCCATCCCTATTACATACAGGAGGAAACCCAGGCTTTGCCAAGAGGTCTGGATGTCCTCTGACGGGGGCCACCTGAGTGCTTCAAGCTGTACACCTGAACACATACCCTAATTCCTACCTTCAAACTAATGCCCATGTGGTTTTTGTTCAGTGAAAGATCCTAGATAGAACATCTGACAATTTCAGAATATTTCTGCAATCCAAATAAAAGCACCCTAAAACAATTCCTAAATGAGTAACAGCAATGTCAAAAAGCTTCCCAGTCCTAGCTAAAAATAAAACAAATGATTTATTTAGAAGTGTACGAGCTTTTGAAGTCCTCAGAGTTTGCCAAACTATTCAATTTCTCATAGTCAGGCACAGAAATGAAAACTCATCAGGGTTGAGCTGGTCACAGGAAGAAGCTGGCATAGACTGCCCTCTTTCATATGCCTTCATGATTTTTCTGCCAAATATAAATACATCTGACCACAAATGCTAAGCACTATACATTTTTCATTTAAAGTCAACGACCTTCTCTGCTCCAGAATGTACCATACACTATTTTACTATCACTGCAAAGTACCAAATTAGTTTAATTAGTTAGCAGTATCAGCGAGCTAATAATTCCATTCGACCATTTGGATCCCTTTGACCTGACAGAGCTCGTGTTTGCTGTGAAGCACTCCAAGTTTACAGACACATAATGCTGCCTCCAATCACACTCATGAAGTGATAACCTGGTAAGTACAGAGATGTACTCAATCTCGAGTAGAAATGATCAAAATCAGCGGCACGGTGGTACAGCACACACATGTACAAAATGATTCCCCTGAATCTACTTGGAATGCACATGATTTTTTGTTTTCTATTAGTCTGAATGCAAACTTCAGTTCCTTCATTACTACGAGAAACACATGCTTGAAATGCAGCCAGAAAATAACAGTTTCATGGTGCATAAACCTCAAAAAAGAATGCTGTGAAATATCTCTACTATGCAAATAATTATATCAACTATAAATTTCATCAAGTGACCCTACTACTGAAATCTGTACTACTAATAATAAACAGCAACAGAAGCAAGCATTGGATAAAGCTATTTGAAAACCAAATTTGTTCGATGCACACTCCTGAGTTGTTTTAGAAACTGTACCACATAGCAAACCCTCAAAAACCTTCTCACAAGCACTGTAATAAAAATACTTGGTTTAAGTTCATTAAGCTTATTATTATGCTAGAAGTTCACATTTCAGAACACCGTCTTGCACTCTGCATACTTCAGAACTGATAAGACAGCGTCTGCACAGAAGGAATGCCTGGACTTCTGAACCTACCAGACAAAAGGCTTTACAATAGCAATACAACTATTTTTGAATTAAATAGAAAAACATACTGTCTGAACTAATTTTAATGAGCTATTTTTCCATAAAGAACACACTGTGTGCCAATACTGCACAAAAATAATTCCTCTGGTCCTGGAAGTTAACTGAGGAAATCCAATTCATCTTCCAGTAGCAAATTTAGTTTCTCAAAGCAGCAGTGGAAAGGGTAAACACAGAGTGACTGCCATCTCTCCAGTTACCACATTCCAACAAGCCATGTCCACCTCCACAGGCAGAAAAGCAAAATACCTGCATTTATGTCGAAGCAAAATACCTCCATTTATTTTAACAGCACGGAATAAGATTAGGATGGAAAAAACACTTGCCGTGTTGATTTGGAAATATTCAGAGCCTGCACTTAAAAGTTAAGAGGATCTGTATTGTAAGAACTAAGCTTGATGTTGAACAGCGTAGAATTGAAAGTTCTGTTTTAATCTAAAATTGGCATGAAAACTTTTTTGATGGAGTGAGAGTAATGAAACGGCTTTTTCTTTCTCATCCTCTCCCAGCACTGTGCAATGCAATCTATTCTCTGTCCTCAGTTTGGAGTTTTAGATTTTATCCTCAGAGTGCTTCCCTGCAACTGCCTAAAAACAACCAACCATTCTGAGCTCATAAAGTAACATGGTTAATACACTCGTTAAGGTTATTTATTTAGAAGTTTCTTGAAACATCACCATTCTGCCAGGGAAAAAAATCACACTTGGATCAAGTAACTTCAGAGAGTACCATATTTTGTATCATAATATAAGGTTCTCATTTCAATTCTGGTATTTGTCAGAGAAATACCACACCAACAACCACACATTTTTAAAATTCCAGTTCAACAACAACTGAAAAAACAGTTTGCAGCACTGACATTGGAGCATAAACATATTCTGCTCATTCGTATGTCTTCCATTTTCTTTTTTTCGAACAAAGCAAAAGAGGAAAATTTTTAAATTACACAGCTCAACTGGCAGATTAACAGTATAGAACAGTTGGGGGGGGGGGGGGAAGCACAGGAAAAAAAGACTATCAAAATAGATGGGCTTTATAGCAACAAGAAACTTCTCAAACAAGTGCTGAGAACAAATCAGCTTACGTATATAAAAGAACGTAAATCAAATTGAATTCCGTTACTCAGTAAGATACATTAATTACAAAATCATCCCCAATGTGGTGATCATTATAGGAATAGGACTGTTTAGATAAAACTGTTCAAATTCAATTCCCAGCACTCTCTTTCTCCACAAGCTGTTCTAGCTCAGAATTTTAACGCTAGGTCTCTCTCTAAAAATTACTTTTTAAGAGATTTCTACTTAAACACAAATAATCAGAAAGTTGATTTCTGCTACGAATCTTTTCAATTGCTTTGTTGCAACAATTCAATATAAGGCAAAAACACAATTCAGAAAAAAAAAAATCTATTCTTTCCATGTCCTGATTCGTACAATTATTTTTCATTTGAACACTCAGAAATAAAAAAAAAAAGGAAAAAAGCTTGGGAGGTCACGTAACAGGAGGGAAATCTTTGCTGACTTCAGTCTGATTAGCAACATTTACTTGTGGTCCAGTGACATATCACTAATGAAAACCAAAAGATGAAAGTAGTTCACCTGGCTCAGAATAATTATTTATTTGTACTAACATGAAAAGCTGCAATGAAAAACATGCAACAGTCCCAGGACAGAAGCCAGGTTATTCAGCATCATATAAGCACATACCTTTTTATCATATACATCTTGCCAGTTTACTCCAGCAAAGAAACTGTGACGCATGATTTCTTTTGCATCATCTGGGCCTCCACCAAGTCTAGACAGAGAATAAAAAAAAGCCCATATTAAACAAGTTCTACTCCTAAAAGGAGATTAAATTATCATGATTGTTAGACAAGAGACCATTTGTTTTTCAATATCTGGGAACAACTCTCACCTGTTCAATCTGATATTCTCCCCTATGTAATATGAATTCAAGATAAAAAGTGTTAACAAAAGCACCCAAATAATGTTCTGTTCTACTTGATTATTCCAATCATCGTGTTTATTACTGTCCACAATGAGTTTTCATTCAAAGGCATTCTTGAGTTTTCTTGAAAGACTAACTAAAGATCTGGCACCATTAAAAACCAAAACTAACCCAACAAAGCTGACACAGAATTTTACCAGGGAGGTGCCAAGCACTGAATTAGTAATGACTGACACATCATTTTTATAAAGTGTGTGCTGCTGTTGCATCTGGGTGCTGTAACAATTAACCAATTACCATAAAATAGCCTCAATCTGAGTTAATTAGTATAAATTAATAAATTGTAGGCCTGCTGAGAAGGTTATTTAAAGGCCACTGTAAATAACCACACTATTTGCTGCAGCCCACAGCTTGCCAAAGCCAGACTCTGGCGTATCATCTCTGGAAGCAAATTGCAACTACTCCAGGTGAACCCACACAAGGTGGATTGAGCTCCCATAAGCAGACACTGCTGCCAGGAAAAAGGGTCCCATCCCTGCCCATCCATCTCCCCTCACTTTCATCCACAGCATCGCATCCACTGACTGTGATGCTCACTGGAGGCTGAGAGCTGGAGTCAGCTCACTAACCTGAAAGAAAACTAACCCCACAAGGAGAAAACAACAAAGAACCGGCAGCTTTTTTGCTTTAGAAGTCAAACTTGATTCAACATCAGTTTCAGTGAGCTCCCTTAGCTTGCTGTTGGTGGAGACAGAGCCATTTGGGACCTCTGCCCCTTTCAAAGCAGGTGGACTTTTAAGACTGCTCAGCTCTGATCTAGCATCTTCCCGGTCTAGCTATCCCATGGCATAACTGACAGTAGTTGCAACAGAAAAAAAAATCTAAACTAACAAACAGCTTTGTATGTTGTCAACAAATAGAATGACACAGGCAGTTTGTGTTTCATTAAAATGAACTGCTAAAGATATAAAGAGAAGTTTTAAAAGCAAGGAAAGGAGCAACAATTCTCAAAATTACAGAAATATTCTGCACTACCATCTCAGCCCTGCAGTGACTGGGCATAAACTTATTTCTACGCTGTATTCTTCCGTTTCTCAACCACTCATATAATTCTCCACATCTCTGAGCATCCCAGTCTGCCTGCACTCTTCAGACTTCCTTCAGTATCTTCCCATCCAGACGTTCAGAGAAGAGCAGAGCTGCAGTTAATCTCTGTGCTTTCTCCCAATTTATCAGTAGCTAGCACTGAAACTTGAACATGAATAAGCTGAAGTAAACAGAAGTCTATAATACATACTACTGCCTGCAAAGATTAATTACAGGAAAGTATCTTTTCAAATCTAAAGGCTAATATATTTCATAAATCAAATTGTTTGGAGGTTAAAATGCAATAGCAATTACTACAGAGACAAATTCTTACATTACATGCATTTATTTGGTTGGTCATAGTTTCCTTTTACTACATACAATAAACTTCATTAAAACAGATGTTGATGGGCAGCAACAAAAATGATGACCACTTGTGCTGTGTCAGCTGCTGCACCTGGCTAAGCACAGGCAAATCCCACTGAGGGGCACCGAAACTGGTCCTGCTCTGAGTACCCGTGAGCACATCCTTGCTACAGAAAACTTCTTGTCTAGAGATTGAGGATGGAGTGCAGGAACCATTGGAAGACAGCTTTCCTAAACAGCAATTCTGCTGAAAGGTGCACAAGAAGCAGGTAGGCAATGCTCACTTTTAAACCACTGCATTTAAATCTCACTCAGAGGATGCATTATCAATTTGTAGTTTACATGATCTGTGATCTATTTATATGCTTTAATGCAACTTTGCTGTGGCAGTCTTTATGTGTCCTCACGCATGATCACACCAAAAGAAAAAGTGGAGCATTTCCATTAGACTATGTAACCAACTTAGGGTTAAATCATACTGTGACAAACACTACATAGATCTCATTTTGTTCCAGTACATAACCTAAACCTGAAAACTTCCTTGTGTTTGCTGTGGATGATTTTAAAAGTGTTCTCATCCAAGTCTCTTTCCTCCTTCTGCTTATCGATCTCACTGTTGTATATCCTAAGTGGAAATTTGAGGTTGTATGGCTGTATATGGCCCCTTCTTATGACTGGTCCTTCAGTTAGAAAGACCAGGCACCAGTGGCCTATTTTTCCTTTAAGAATTTAAACTATTTTTTTTATGGCTATGTACCCAAGTAATTTCACTTACCGCTTATTTGGATCTTTTATCAGTAGGCCTGAAAGTAATGATTTTGCATCTGCAGATAGAGTTCGAGGAAATTTTATGTCCTCCATTAGTATCAGTTCAAATAGTTTCTCGTGATCTTGGTTGTAGAAAGGCAATCTTCCACACATCATTTCATACATGACAACTCCTAATCCCCACCAGTCCACTGCACGACCATAGTCATTATCTTCCAACACCTAAGACAGAAAGCAAAGCCAGCTGTAAAACATGTGCTATTTCAGATGGGATCATTTCAGCTTATTTGATGTATCTTTATACGAGTATCTTTTGTAGACTTCATTTCCACAGTGTGTAACAAGGACTGACAGAACTCAGACCCAATATACGCAACTGCAGCACTGACCCATACACCTGAGTTCACTGCAATTACAGATATACTACGGTCTGTGCTGTTATCCCGTGTGCAATCATCAGAAACAAGCAAAACATACAATTGAGAACGGTCTCCTCAAAATTGCCATGACTGCTTTTTCCCCTTTTCTATGTCTTCTACCATCCCATTTATTCGCAGTTTTAGGAAGAGACACTTCATCTGCTGGCACTGCAGTCGCAGTTAGCGTTCTTCATGGAGAGGATGTGAGGCATCTCCTTGATCAGCCACTTCCTCTCTTTATCCCACCTGCCAGAATAAAGCCTGAAACTGAGAAACACCCTTCTCTTACTGAAAGAAGCTTAGCTTCTTTGCTTCTACTGTGTTTATACTAAGAACCCTCAAAGCATTTTTCCTGACAATTCCATGCAGTTCCATGAGGTAATCCAAAGCAGCTGAATAGTACGAGTGCACAGAAACACAGCGACGTTCACATGGTACATTAACCACGACACTGGGTGTGTATGCATGATATTATACGATCACACAAATCAGTTTGTGACATTTGTTAAAATGATAATGCCTCCAATGTTGTGAGTCTTAAAAACTGACCAACTCCACAGGCTTCCTCCAGCAGCCTCAGAGAATTGGAATAAAAAATCTAAATGGTATATTTTGATCTCAGTAGATCTTAATCTTGCATTACAGCAATGGAAGTGAAATAACAGCATTATACACCCACAACGTAAGCATTTACAAAAAAGAAACTAAAGGCTACTGCATGGGTGTATAATTCAGATTTCTGTGTATTATAAGGAGATCACATCCTTGCACTAAAAAGGTTGTAAAAATTGGAAGTTAATAAGTGCTAACATAGAAGGTACTGCATGTGCCTCAGTTGCCAACATGTGCTGAATAAAGATACAGCAATATAAAGGCAAAAAACCTTAAAACAAGAAATTACACTTAAATAGTAAACAGTAAGAAAGACCAAATAGATGAAACAAAAATAGTTGGACTCCATTTAGAAAGTCCTAAAGAATTCTCCATCATTTTTGTATCATTTAAAGGCAGTTTCTGAAAGACATAATATGCATACAACTGATTTAAAAATACATATATATTAACCTATAGAGAACAAAATACCTTTTACAAGTCACTGTCACATGCAAACAAAACTGCCAAGCACTCACCCAGACTCAAATAGGAAGCAGACACACAGGAACAGTCATCTAGACACATGCCAGGGAAAGCCTGGTGACATCTAGTAATGCCTTCAGGCTTTAAGGAATAAGGCAACCTCTAGCAGATAAGCTATAAACTTTATCCGTGAGCAGATTATCTTGTGACTGTCAAAAAAGCATAAGAAGACTTCCAGCAATTTCCTCTAAAGCAACGGCAGGCACAGCCTGCACCCATCTGGGGACACTGAGCGGCCATGGCCACACCATGTCCTCCAAGGACATGTGCCTGACAATGGGCAGTCCCAGTAAGAGTGTAGAGCTTGTTTATCTGCCATCTCCTTTTTCTCCCCCAGTAAACCCAATCCTGCTTCTAAGTGTCTGGTACATGTTAGTAGCAGAAGTAAAATGCAGAACGGCAATTTTGATGATCCCACAGTAATTAATGCATTCATATTCCTAATTTTCATGATCTTTAAGGATTAGTAATAGGAATGCGATGGAAAGAAATGTATTACAAATCCCTCTTGTGTATATAAGATTAAAAAATCATAAATATTAACACATTAACACATACTATTTACAACCATGCCAAAACACACAGATTCGTTACATCACTGATATTTCCAAATAGAGGGTGAAATTTTGGAAAGTGTAAAACACAACAAATTATCTGAGTGAGTACATGTGACAAAAGGAACTAAAATAATTCCAGCATTTTAAAATTAATTAAACATTTTATGAGTTCCAGCACACTGTAAGCTATTTGCTGAAAAACTGTATACGAAATCTGTGGCACTTGTCTTTAAATCACCACTTCTTCTGCCACATATAAAAGCATTATGTGTTTTTCTAATACATGTTTTAGCATCGTTACCATTTCTCCTATTTGTACCATTAGTTATTCTTCTCTTTAGAAGCTGGTAAAATACAAAAAATCGTGAGGCAGTGGTGGAGCTTTTTACAAGTGAGCCGAGGTGTGGTTTGCACGTGTGACTTACAAAAGCACGCAATGGGAATATAAAGCATTTCATTCTCCGAGTGAGGCAAATCACATGCCCAACAGCTAAAACAAACCAGATCTGGGGTTTTACCTAATTTATGCTGGGCTTTACCTAATAATAATAAAAAGTACGAGCAACCTTTTGCTGCATTCCCACAACAGCAACAAAACAGTGGTACAAAGGAAGAGCCAAATGTGATTTTTAACCTCTTTTTACATAAAATCATAAAAAAGCATAAAAGCTGGATTAACTGCCTCCTGAACCCGCATATCACCAGCCGGGTTCTCATCCCCAGCTGGCAAAACTGGCAACTCTTTATTTTTATTTAAATACCTGGTTTACAGCCAGCCAGACGAGCAAGAGCATCAGAAGGGTTTTGCTTACGAAAAGGAAAGCAGCCTGAAAACAGCGTCAAGGAAGAAAAAAGCAGTTCCATTTATTTTAATATAAATGGAATAAAACTGTGCATTATGCATTCACAGAAAAAAAAATAATTGTGCGCATTTAAAGTACTCTGTGGTTTCTATTCTTCCATGGTTTTAAGAAATCTAAAGGTTTGCAAACTGAGAAATCAATGGAATTTTAGCAACTTCTGTAATCAAATCCATACAACTAGAGTGGGCACAAGAACAAATCTAAACACGCTACCCTGGCATTACAGTCTTTTGTATTTGAGGGACTTGTTTTTTCTAACACTGAACAAAGGTCATGAAAGACAAAAGCTTCAGCTCAATGCTAAATGAACATGACATACAGTTGCACATTTGTACCTATGAGTAATACGATCTTTTGCATATCATGAGATGGTTATCTGCTTTTAGAATGGCCTCCTTAGGCTGTCACAGCCCTTGCAACCTTCCAGCATATGTGAGGTATACCTGCCTAAGCACCTGCCCAGCCACAGCCACAGTGCAAATTTTGATCTCTTAGCCCCTGTGTACCATCCTTTAAAGCCATCTCCACTATCTCCATCCATCCTGTATCCTGTAAGGGCACACGAATCTATATTTAAAACAATAGACTGTTCTAACAACTCTGTCAGGTCACAGCAGAAAAGGCAGCAGACCCATCAAAACCATCATCAAGGCACAAGCTCCTCCACTTTGGTGCTTGTTATAAAGCAATGCTTTATTTTCTAGGGCTATGAAACAGGAGGATCGTACGCATCTCATAAGCCACAGGAAGAGCAGCTACACTGAGTACACATCCAGTCAGGTGCACTTTCATACAGATGAAGTTCCACGCTTTCTTCCCCAAAATTAAAGCCGCCAGATCATTTGAGGACATGAATTCCCTTCCTTTATCTGCTTCTCCTACCACTACCACATGGGCCCAAGCCACCTCGTCAAGATCTAGGTGAGGTTTTAGGAGATGAGAGCTGCAGTGTGATACGACTTCAGCATCTGGATAACATTACAGTCAGTCATCCCCGTTTCACACCCCACATCACTACTGTGCCCCGTGTCAAGTAAAGCATGAGGTGGGCTCACGGAGGTTCAGTCTGAATGATACCATAGATCACAGGAAATAAAACCCAGGAATTTATTTCATTTTTACTACTTGAATGTTTCTCACTCCCTTTGTGTTTCAGGCTCTAGTTCAGTAACAGGTTCTTCCAGAGGCAGTACTGACCTGACACATGCTCCCACATCTTTTCACTTGCCATGTCAAAGTTTTGCAACACGCTGCATCGGAAAGAAAAGTTTTACCCTGGGCTATTTGTAAGTCACCTTGGGACCTGAGTCCTTACATTGCTGCAAGAGCCCGCAGTCCTCATCACAGGAGCTGTGCGGACTCTCACTGTTACTCCTGCTCATGCAGAGAGCTGCAATAGCCATCTTCACACCTAATGGAAAGATGGAGGGCCCAATTCTCTTCCCAACCTGTGTTTCTCTGGAGTGCTCAGGCACTACAAAAGTGCTCTAAAACTAATCACTGCACTGAAACCATTTCATTTTTATGGGCACTGATGCTGCTCTAAAACTTACAGCTGCAGTAAGTGGACAGAGTCTGCATTTATATGAATGCTTTTTTAAAAAAATCTTCAGAAGTGCTAGTAAGATTTGTATATTTCTAGTTTTAGATAAAAACACAAGATGTTAAGTAGCATACAGACTTTCTAACAACCAAGAAACATTAGTCATGCATCTGTTTCCAGGCACATGCAGACACTTCTGAGCTTTCATGGATGTTTTAGAGGTACTGGGCAAATCAGTAACCTGCAGTAATACACTGCAATCCATACAATTGCATGCCCAATTAATTAATGGTAAAACTTAGAAAAAAAGAATATATTCTCTTTACATCTTCAGTAGCTGGAGTCAAAAGTTTTCTCTGCTGCTGCAACTTGAGATACATCTGCAAACTTTTATTTACAGTATTGGGGCAGAAACTAAGGCAATAATTAAAGAAGTCAAATCTGACACAAGCACAAGCCATGCTTTTACATGATTCTGTGAAAATCTTTTGAAGGGTAGCAGTCTACATAAGTGAAACCTATGACCATCTGAAGTCAATCATGTATTTCCTCTTTACTTTGGTGAAACCAGGATTCTCCGATATGTCAATAATTGCATAGCACTGCACAGGTTGTGACTGCCCTGGCCACAGACTGAACACAGAAAACCTCTTAATTCAGTTCTTCTGAATTTTCTTGAAACAAAATATATGTGATGATGTCC